TTAAGATCAGCCCCTCCAGATATATTGTCCCCACCCCGCCTGAGGGGGATGGGGGCTCGTGGTCGTGGCCGAGGGGTATCCCGATCGACTCCATTCGGAGGCGGGTCGGCTGGGCTCGATGGGGCCTCGCATCACGTCGACGGGGGTGAGAGGCGGGGGGGGGGGGGGGGGGGGAAGGGGGAAGGGGGGGGGGGGGGGGCGAGGGGCTAGCTCCAGCGCGTCACCGTGCAATGTCGAGGGTCCGCTCATTGCCCCGCGTGTTCGGGCAGCTTATCGGTCGGGATGTGGAGCGGCATCGTGCCCATCGGATGGCGCGGCCTCGCGGCGTTCGCCATAATTCCTCGCGGCAACGCCCCCAATTGCCCATGCCGCCCCCCCCCCCCGCCCCAGGGGTGGAGACCGTCAGAGGGAGTGCGCGGCGAGTGGAGGAGGCATCTCACGGCATCCCCGCCCGCCCCTTGCTCGGGATCCCCCCAAGAGGAGCTCCGCACGACGGGGCTCTTGCGCGTGGCCGAGCCGTGGGGCATCGGCTACGTCGTCGTTCGCGGCCCGTCGTGGGATGACGGCAACCTCGGCATGTTCGACGGCGGCCGCGGCTGCTCGGGCTACGCCGTTCCTCCGAACGACGACCATCTCAAAGCTTGGGTGAAGTTCATGCTGTGGGGTGCCGGCGACGGCTCTACGTCGCCGCGTGCATTCACGGGGTGGCACATGGGGCACCACTGGGTCAATCGCGCGATCTGCGCAGAGTTCCCCTCGGGCCGCGGCGCGCACGTCTTCCTGGCGAATGATCGCCACCGCTTCGAGCTGCAGGTTGTCGACGGGATGCCCCCCCTGTCGGACGTCGACCGCTTCTGCGCGCTGCACAACCTCTTGCTCCAGGTGCAGAACCTCTTCGCAGAGTGGCTCCCCGAATTCATGCAGTGCAACGACCTCTCGGTCGACGCCCAGACGGTGACTGAGCTCGAGAAGGCGTCCACCCAGTGGATCAAGGACGGCATGCAGGCGAAGCTCGACGACAAGATCGCCAGGGCGCTCTCCGACCAGGCCGAGGAGTTCAAGAAGAGGAAGCTGCAAGCCCAGACGAGCGCCCCCAAGGACATTGACGACGACGACGACGCCGACGACGGCGGCGGCGGCGGCGACGACGTCGACGCCGACGGCGGCGACGACGCCGACGGCCACGACGAGCGAGGACGACGACGACGACGACGCCGATTTTGGCGACGTCGGCGACGACGTCGACGTCGGCGACGGCGTCGACGATGCCGACGACGACGCCGACGACGACGTCGACGACGCCGACGCCGACATGGACGTCGCCGTCGGCGCCGACGACGACGACGCTCGCCGTCGACGCCACCGCCGACGACGACGACGACGCGTCGACGTCGACGTCGACGACGACGTCGCCGTCGTCGTCGTCGACGTCGTCGGCGTCGGCGTCGAGGAGGATCCGCCGCCGAGTGGCAAGCGCCGCAAGATCAATTGAGCTGGCGCTGCGGCGCCGCGCCCAGGCCGAGAGCGCGCCGAGAGCGCGCCGTGGCGGGATGGGGGTGCCCCTCCTCCGCCTCTCTCCTCACCTCCCCCCTTCGTTCCCCCCCCATCTCCGCGCTCCCCTCCTTCCTTGCTCTCATGTTTCTCCACTCTCCCTCCTTCCTTGCCCTCCCTCCCCCCTGGCCTTCCCTCTTTCCCCCTTGCTGCCATGCCGCCCCTCTGGCTTCCTCCCCTCGCCCGCCCCTCATTCCCTGCCTCGCTCTCCTCATCCGCCGAATCGCACCTCGCCCCAGTTCGCCCTCGCTACCCCTCCCCCCTCCTCTCGCGGTGGTCGGGCACCCCGATCCCTCTTGCTTCCCGGCCGCCCGCGTGGTGGAGGGCGGCGACTGGTCTCGTGGCGGGAGCGCCATTTCCACGCCTCCCTCCCCCCACCTCTCACCGCCGTCGCCGCTGTCGCCATCGCCATTGCGGGGGTAGGGGGCAGGTAGAAGGGGGGAGGACGAGGTCGGGAGTAGCACATGCGAGGCGGGGGTAGGGAGCACGGGAAAACGGAGGCGGGCGCAGGGAGGAAGAGGGGAAGGAGGAGGGGGGGGGGGGGGGGCGGGAGGGGGACACGGAGGAGGAGGAGGGTAGGTGTATAGGGATGGGTAGGCGATCTAGGAAGTAATGCCCTCCTACCTCTCTTTCCCTCCCTACACCCTCCTCCTCACTCTCCTCCGTCACCTCCCTCCTTCTCCTCGCTCTCTTCCGCCGCCCGTGCGCAGGTCCACTTGGAGACCTGCGCGCGTTTTGCTGGAGGGCGCCCTGGGTGGCGGGATCGGGGGTGGGGGTTTGATTTTGCCCACGCATAAACTTGCCATGGGCGCTCTGCCGCCCCCGTGTCTGGGGATTAAAAATCAGTAGGTGGGGTTCCTCGGTAGCGTAAGTTTGGAGTATTGCTTGACTATCTTTTATTTTTCGTCCAGCATCCGCCTGTAGGGGGACATGCCCGACCTAACAACGTGCCAGTGGACGCGGTGGCTGGTTTCTGTCGCGAGAGAAGGTAGGGGCCTTGCAAGAGCCCCCAAAGGCTGTAAACATAGACAGACGTTGCTTGGGCTATGTTTTCGCGACGCGAAAGAGTCTGGGGGGGAAGCAGGAAGAGAAGAAGGAGGTGGAGGCGGAGGCGGAGAGACGACGACGAGGAGGAGACGGAGGAGGTTGAGGAAGAAGGGGGCGCGAGGAGGAAGATAAGGAGGAGGAGGCTGATCTTCGATGGGGAGGACGAAGAGGAGGAGGAGGAGGAGGAGGAGGAGGAGGAGGAGGAGGAGGAAGAGGAGGAGGGGGAGGAGGACGGGCAGGAGGCAGAAGGGATGAGGAGGAGGAGGAAGAGGACCAGGGCAAAACCAAGAGTCAGCAACGATGTTGGAATTAACCATCCTTCCAAGCTCCCTCTTCATAGGCCCCCACAAAGGTTCATTTCCATTGAGGGAACTGCCACGTTGGAAGACAACCGTTTGAAGACCCTAAAGCATGCCAAAACATTGTTCCCGGGATTTCAACTCCACGTATCAACCCGACTGCTGCGTCTTGACGGTCCGGAATCGCGCCGACCCTCTCACCAGTCCTGGGCCAGCTTGTTGTTTCTCGAGCTGTTTCGTGATGGCCCGATGGCCCGAAGCCGGCCCCCCAGAGGCCGAAAGCGGAGAAAGCAAGTGCACGTTTCTGTTCTGAACACACCAGGAGTTTGGGTGCAAATTTCAAGCAGTGGCGAAGCGTCCCGGCTCGCCTCCTGGCCAACCAAACAACAATGTTCTAAGAACTTTTTGTGGCTTGCACGATACGACCTTGGAACATTCCTGGTTGATGTTGTCTTGTTTTAACACCTCGGGTTAATGTTCTAAGAACATGGTTTTTGTTCTTAGAACGTTTTTGGGGGTTCTAAGAACACTTCGTGGTAGGACGATGAAAATGCCAGGACGGTCGGTCCCTGCTCAACTTTTGTGAAGACGCCAGGATTCTGGGTGCAAATTCCAGCCACGCACCAGCGCGGGTGCAGGGCAGCACCGCGGCCCTCGGCACGCACGTAGGGCGCCTCGGCGGGGCGCGGGGGCGAGCGTGTGGAGCTCTGCCAGCGGCTCGTCGGGCGCGATCCATCGTCATCGCGCTGCGACCATGTCATTCGCTGCCCAGGGGGGGGGGGCGAGGAGGAGTACAGGCGGCCCGGATTTGTAGGTCGACCCTGCCAAATCGAGGGTACCCTCGTGTTCTGTGTCTTGCGACCCATGCCTCCTGCAGTTCTGTGGCAACGTAGCCATCGGAAGGGTCTTGTGTCCTCTCGCGTGTCCTCTCCAATCAAGTCCGACTGTGCCCAGACCTTCTGTCACGTCTGGGAAGAATGTCAGCGGGAGGTTTTTGGCTCTTTTCGGCCCCGCAGGGACTGCGTGTCCGTCGAAGGACTCCTCGGGATCAGCCGGCCCAGGGGAACGGGTCTAGACCTTTGGGGGGCCACGCTGTGAAATCACGATGTCGGAGATCTGGATATAGTGGAGGATTTTCGGTTCGGTCGTCTTCGAGGGCGCAAGTCGAGCTGACAGTCGCCGGGAGAGTGCTGCAACCCATGGCTGCAACATTCGGGACAATAGATGATGCGAGGAGGGAGGAGGAGGAGGAGGAGGAGGAGGAGGAGGAGGAGGAGGAGGAGGAGGTGAGAAGGAGGAGGCCAGGGGACAAGGAGCAGAGATGTGAGAGGAGGAGGAGGAGGAGGAGGAGGAGGAGGAGGAGGAGGAGCGCGTTGAAATTGCGATTGTGGGGGAGAGGGAGGATAACAGGAAGGGGGGGAGGAGGTGGAGTACAAGCAGGAGGGCGAGGGCGCAGGAAAGGGGAACAATAGCAAAAGGGGGGGGCGGTTGTCTACTAAGGCTGTGAGGATTTAGCGCTGAGATGCTTCGCGGAGGAGCTGTACGATGCACACGTTGAAGAGCCTCGCAGCGTTCGGGCGCCTGGTGTCCGACGCGAGGTCCCTCAGACAGGGAGCAAGATTGGGACACATGCCTGCCTGGAATGGCAGGTAGGTGACAAGATGTAGGGCACTGACCGAGCTGGCCGTACTCGGGCTGATTAGGACGCAGCCGCTGGGATCCTGGAGAGAGGAGCTGACCAGCAGCCGGAATCATCGTGCTGTAAGGTGGAGGTGATTTACGGATCGGAAGAGTCGAAACGTGCCGCCTGAGACTCCAGTCATGAGCGAAGCAAGCATGCGCGCTCACGTGTGAATGCACGTGCCTTTGGGGAGGGCGCGTTGCGCCAGTATTCGTGGCATGAGGCCGGCCCTGCGAGCTGGTAGGGTACGTACGGGGTTGGGCGCGTGCGTCCTTCCTGCACTGCAGGGACGACGGTGGACCAGCCTTCGACTTCAGCTGCGTCAAAACCTGCGAGCCCCATCGGTGCAGATGAGAAATGAGTTAGTTGCCGCCACCGTTAATGGAGATGTGAGCGATGGAGGAGCATTATTAGAGGGAGGAGGGGAACTGGCGGCGTATCACGTTTCTAATGTGCAGTGCTAGGGGCACTTCGGTCACCTTGCTCGCATCGTCAGCGGCTAGTTTGTCTCTAGCGCAGACGTGCGGCTCTCGCTGTGGCCCTGCCTGTCCAGGCGGTGCTCCTCTGCGGCTGCGGCAATTCATGAGCTGACAACGAGTACCCAAATCCGTGTGAGCCCTAGATTTCTCGGGGTGGAATTCCGTAGAGGGCTATGAGTGTGTTTCGTTGGATGAGGTGCCTGGTCGTTGGCCCTCTTGGGGGACATCACCAGCCGAAGAAATTGCGTCACGTTATTCCACCTCTGGCGTAAACGGATTGATGATGTCTGGCTGCTGTGGGCCCCCGCGCCGGGGTCGTCAGGGCGACGACATGTTGGATGCCCCCCGTTGGGTAGTCCGCGCGCTCAAAAAAACGCGCGGTTCCAGCTCGGTGCAACCATGTTAGATACCCCTTTGGGTGACCTGGGCGCGTGAAAACACATGGCTCCATCCTTCGGCCATGATCTACACATTTTTTGTGGTGGCCTAGACACATGGCAACACGTGGTTCTAGCGAGGGGTAATCAGCAACCACCTCAAATCCCCCTCTGGGCGGCCCGCAGACGCAAAGGCACATGGCCCCCCCCGGGGCCAGCGCGATAGATGATTGTTCCCCACATCCTAAGTGGGGTTCTTGTTTTCTCTGCACACCCTCCGCGCAGGATCTCCTCCTCCTCCTCCTCCTCCCTCTCCTCTGCTCTTCTTTGCTTCCTCCTCCGCATCATCATGACCATCACCATCACTCCCCACTCATCATCATCGTCACCATCAGCATCACCATCACCATCGCACGATCACTCACCATCATCGGCATCGAACGATCATCATCATCATCATCATCATCATCATCATCATCAGCATCAGCATCATCATCATCATCATCATCATCATAATCATCATCACTACTCGCTGACTTGAGGCCTGAATATGGTGGAAGTCTCGAGCGGGAGCCTCGTCTGTGAGTGAATTGTGAGGAAGTCTCAGGCGGGAGCCCCCTCCTTATGGGGCCCGCGCTTCATGTTCGAATCCGAGCGGGTCATCTGTTACGTGCAATTGTCGTCACTTTGGGGCTCTTGAGACCTGCATATGGAGGAAGTCTCGAGCGGGAGCCTCGTCTGTGAGTGAATTGTGAGGAAGTCTCAGGCGGGAGCCCCCTCCCTATGGGGCCCGCACTTCATGTTCGAATCCGAGCGGGTCATCCGAAACGTGCAACTGTCGTCACTTTTGGGCACTTGAGACCTGCGTATGGAGGAAGTCTCGAGCGGGAGCCTCGTCTGTGGTGAATTGTGAGGAAGTCTCAGGCGGGAGCCCCCTCCCTATGGGGCCCGCACTTCATGTTCGAATCCGAGCGGGTCATCCGAAACGTGCAACTGTCGTCACTTTGGGCTCTTGAGACCTGAATATGGAGGAAGTCTCGAGCGGGAGCCTCGTCTGTGAGTGAATTGTGAGGAAGTCTCAGGCGGGAGCCCCCTCCATATGGGGCCCGCACTTCATGTTCGAATCCGAGCGGGTCATCCGAAACGTGCAGCGGTCGTCACTTTTGGGCTCTTGAGATCTGAATATGGGGGAAGTCTCGAGCGGGAGCATCGTCTGTGAGTGAATTGTGAGGAAGTCTCAGGCGGGAGCCCCCTCCCTATGGGGCCCGCACTTCATGTTCGAATCCGAGCAGGTCATCCGAAACGTGCAATTGTCGTCATTTTTTCGCTCTTGAGACCTGCATATGGAGGAAGTCTCGAGCGGGAGCCTCGTCTGTGAGTGAATTGTGAGGAAGTCTCAGGCGGGAGCCCCCTCCCGATGGGGCCCGCGCTTCATGTTCGAATCCGAGCGGGTCATCCGAAACGTGCAACTGTCGTCACTTTTGGGCTCTTGAGACCTGCGTATGGAGGAAGTCTCGAGCGGGAGCCTCGTCTGTGAGTGAATTGTGAGGAAGTCTCAGGCGGGAGCCCCTCCCTATGGGGCCCGCTTCCCGAGGCGCTGGCCGAGGCGGCGACGGACGGCGCTGAGGAAAATGGATTTGCTTGCCCCGACGAGGGGGAAGGGGAGGTGCACATGGAGAAAAGGCAGGGGGATGAGGAGGGAAGGGGCATGGGGGAGGCCGACGACGAGGAGGAGGTGGCGCGGAGAGGAGGAGGAGGAGGAGGAGGAGGAGGAGGGGAGGAAGGAGGAGGGGGAGGAGGAGGATAAGGAGAAAGAGGAGGAGGAAGAGAAATAGAAGGGGGAAGAGAGGGCAGTGCAGGGGGCGAGAGGAGAGGGTGTCCGCCAGGGGGAGGAGGAAAGGGCAAAGGGTAAGCTAAACAGTTTCTCGTGTGGGGCCCCACCGTCGGAGTATTTTTTTTTTGAGGGGGGGGGGGGTGCGGGGGCGCGCGCGTGGTTCCAGCGAGGGGCCACCGCGTGAGATATCCTTCTGGGTGGTCTGGAAAAGTGATTGCGCCGTTCCAGACCGGGACCACCATGTTAGATGCCCTCCTGGGCGGCCTGGATGCGCGCGCGCGTGTCTCCAGCCCGGGGCCGCCATGTTAAATAGCTATCTGGGTGAAGTGGACATGTGAAAACGTGCGATCCCAGCCTGGGGCCACCATGTTAAATGCGCCAGGGGGGGATCTGGAAATTCACAAGCCGAAGGATCTGTGTCAATTTTGCGCACATCTGCCGTCGATGCATTGATTCCCCCCCCCCCCCGCGGGCGGCCCGCGCGCGTGGGGACACGCGCTTCCAGGTTGGAGCAAACATGTTAGATATTTTTCTGGGTGGCCTGAACACGTGAACATCTTCCTTTCTTGGGACTGCCATGTCAGATATCCCCCGGGCGGCCTGGGCACGTAAAAACACATGGCTCCAGCTCGGGGCCGCCAAGTTAGATACCCCTTTTGGGCGGCGTGGGCACGCGAACGCACGCGGTTTCATCTTGGGGCAACCGCGCCAGATGCTCCCCTGGGCGACTTGGGAACTTGAAACGAGCATTTCTCGTGAGACATCCTCGGAGTTCTGGCCCCCAGGAGAGGAGCAATCGATGGGGCAACTCAAGCGTTTCGCTCGAGACTTCTTCAATCATTGAGGCGTTTCGCTGGAGACATCCGCAACGCGCGAACATATGCCCCGAACTCGATGCTTTGGTCAACGCACCCCTCCGCGCCACCAGGTTCCTGCCCTTCTCGCCCGTCCTGCTCGCTTCTCACTGGATGCTTGTTTCCTTGATTTGGACATCTTGTGTTCCGCAGCTGCCATCGTCGACTGACTGCTCAGGTATAGCGGGGAAGGAGCGCGCCCGAGCGCGGCCGCGCGCGTCGGCCGGCGGGCCGGCCTCCTCCCTTCAGCGTTATATCTCTTGCATGCTTAACGGCATTATATGTTCTTGCCCGTGTCTTCTGCGAAGCCCATTAACTACGAGACATCATCGGAATATATCGCGGGGGTAATGAATATCCGGGCAAAAGATTGGTTATCAGCCGAAACGACGGCGCAGCCGTTCGCTTCGCAGAGCATGGGATCTCAAGGAGGAATGTTCGGAAGGACAGATAATGGAGGGCCTTCCGAACGCGACAAAAATATGAGCGCCTGGGATAGGTGACATAACTTTCACATTCTCCCCGATAAGAATGCACCAGAGAAAATGTTTGATTTGACAAAGTTGGATTCATCAGCTGATTCAGAAGATCCAAGGAGCTACCCTCGGATAGAAGGGATGGCGCAGTCAGAACTTCTACCGGGGGGTGCCTTCTGGCAGTAGTGGCACACGTTGGCTCTCAGAAGTTGATGGATATATATCTTGAGATGGAGAAGTTGCTGGATGCCGATCTCTCCGAGGCATCGGTCATTGAACGCTTGGGCGCCGGGGGCGCTCTTCGATGCTGCGTGGGCAGGGTGAAGATGCGAGCGATATGCGATCTGAAGAAGATAGTTCCCATTCGATGGAGAAGAATGGGGAGTATGCTCGGTTTTCCACTTCACCTGGCCCGTCGTGTCACCTTAAACCTTTTTTTGATTTGCGTGCCGATCCTGTTCGCGATCGCGCAATGATTGAGGCGAGTCAGCAATCCGTTCTTGATTCGGACGATGAAAGTCAGGATGAAGAGAGGCTTGTGCAAGGTGGGTGCTCATCGGCGCAGCCGATAAGAGACTCCACTGGCGCTATACGCGCGATAAGGTGTGCGCGAGAAGTTACTGGGGTGACTCCTCATCCATTGACGAAGAAATCGAAAAAATAAGGCGATGACTTGAATGCGTCGCCCTTGCCACCGGGTCTCCACATACCTGACTCTTCGCTGCCCAGAACAGGCAGAGATAGAGTGCCAGAACTCGACGAGCTTGTTATTCAGGATGAGAAAGATGACTGGGCAACAAACATGGATGCGGATAACTCCAAGAGGGGTGCGAGGGCAAAAAATCAGTACACGCCTACCAAGAATAGAGAGAGGGGGCGATCCAGCAAGGCCCCCAGGGCCGGGCGCTTCAGCTCCAGAGGATCTAATGTCTTCGATTCGCCACGAACCCCATCGAATAGGTCCGCCGGCAGTTTTTCGGCACGGGGGGGTTGCTGGAATGCCGGGCCAACGTGCCCTTCCCGCGCAGAGAATCGATGTCCCGGGAAAGCGCGCAAACCGGGGGGGTCATGTCGAAGACTAGCGTGTTCTCAATGCTCGAGTGCTTGCCCCAATTGTAGCCGAGCGTGGCTCTGTAATAATTGCGTTACGATGGAAGAGCACAGTTGCCGTCATCTTGCAATCCAGGAATGGACTGAAAGAAACAGACAAGATCGAGAGCAAGTGAGGGCTGCAAGTGCGCACGCACAGCAAATTCCTTCTGTGGTGCAAGTAATATGCAGGCGGCCGAAGAGGCCCAGCGCCGACTTGCGATTTCTGAGTGAGAAAAGCTGGCGATTGCGCAGAGGATGGGGCATGGGAGAACCGGCGTCGTCGAAGATGCGCACAAGTTGATACAGCATGCTGAGGCCAATGCAGCCGGCGTCGCGGATGAAGTGAATCGGCGCCTTGCTCCGGAGGGGAATAGGAAATTGAGGATTCAGAATGTAGCAGAAAAGCTGGCGATTGATTCTCAACGAACAGCAGAAGGAGAAAAAGCTGCTTACAGAGAGCTGGCCGATGCTGTAAGGCGGGGCGGAAAAAGAGAGGCTCGAGAAAAGGCAGCACGAGAAAATCTGGAGCT